CCTAAGGTGGCCGTAGCTCAAAAACTTTGAACATCACTGCCTATCAAGGGGGGGGGGGGGGGGGGGGATGCACTCTAAATCAAATGGGACTTAGTGTTACTGAGAATCAGAATTTCAAACTTCAATAATCCAGCTCTTAGTGAAGTTACTAATGATATTACGAAGAACTAGACGTTTCACATTTCGTTACGTTCCACGTTCCATATAACAGAAGCGCATTCTACAAAAAAACTTAAATTTTCCAAAAATAGCATTTTCTCTCAAAAAAGAATAAAAATTTTTTTTGTTCTAAATTACATACTTCACAAATGCACGCAGAAATTGTAGGAACTTAAAAAATAATTGTGAAAATGAAACTTTGTGAATATATCCGCCTTGGCTTTACTACTCAGTCTACATTATATTTAAAAATCATACCGTTTTCACGGGTGAATGTATTGATCAGATTGAAAAATAAACAGTAAAGCACTTGGTAAAGTGTTATACAATTTTTTAAAGCTCTGTCAGACCACTTGTCGGGGGCTAATATAAGTATTAAAGTAAATCTTGCTATTAATGATTATTACAGTTTTAGGATTGTTAAGTTTACAAAACATTATAATCAATTATTCCTTATTTATCAGACGCGCTGCTAGTATTACTTTGTAGGGACTCAATAGTGGCTCTAGATCAGTGTTTTCCGAACTGTGTGCCATAGAAATTTTTTGGAAATCACGCGAGCCGTATGTTGTGTGCGATTTTGGTCATGGCTCATAACTTAGGGGTGCGGTGGCTCAAAAAAGATCGCACAACACTGTTCTAGATCAATTCTGATCCAAAAGATGCGCAATTGCGATTCGCAGTTAAAAGAAGTGCAAGTGAGGATGCTCCAAAAAACTGCAATAAAACCTACAACGACCAACAGTTTATAGTAGGATTCGAACCACTTCTTTGGTGACATTTCTGCTTGTAGCTCACAAAGGACGGCTATGAGCTTCATTTCTGGTATTTATGGTTCGAAAAAGGGCAAGCGCTATGAGTAAGAGGGCATAGATTATTACAACCTTATCCACCTCCAACAACAACCGGTCAACCGAGGGGAAACAGGATTTTTATCTTTCTTATTGCATTTTTATATGATTTGAATAGTGTTGAGGGGAAAACAACATTATGAGCAAGAATTGATGAGACATTAATGAGAAATTTCTCACCGATTTCAAAGGGAAATCATGAATTTATTCCTCATAATGTTGTTTTCCCTCAAAACTATTCAAATCATATAAAAATGCAATAAAAATATAAAAATCCTGATTTTGTTCTAAATTACATACTTCACCAATGCATACAGAAATACCATTTACTTATGAAATGCTTGTAAAAATGGAACTTTGTGAATATTCTTCGTGAAGCGTGGTCCTGTTTTAATTACTTTATATTAATAAAACACATCCATTTTCAATGGATTGTGAATATATTGTTTATTCAGGAAAACCACTTTTTTAACTGACTTCAGTCAGCAATTTTTAAATGCCCTGTCAGACCACTTGTCGGGGGCTAATTAGATGTTTAAATAAATATAGACATCCTTAAATCCCTCTTTTAAAGATGTTATTTAATAGTGCAATTAATAAAGCAAAACGCTGTCTAAATCATGTCAAATTTCCCTCAACATTTTATATCCTCACATCCATAACAGATATGCAACAGTTTATTTGAATAATATTTTATATCCCTAAATCTCATGAGCATAGTCGTGATGATGACTTGAGATCATTTTGCATTGATGAGGTGTTGACGTGATACAATTGATAAGATTATGTTTATTATTTATATTTTGCCATAACTTTAGGGATTTTTTGCATGTCGCTTTTTATCGTCATCTCCACACATTAAAGGATATCTGAATGTGTCTACGAGATGAAATGGGGAATTGTTTTAACCTCAAAATTCAACTCGACTTTTTTTTACGGTGCAATAAATTTTATTTTATGATATATTGATTATGAATTGCTATGACAGTGCATTTCAATAAAAGCGAGCAGTTCAACAAAAAAGAAATAAATGGGGAAAAAAAATGTCAATTGGCTGGTTTTTATTACATCCTGTTTGCAATTCGAAAAAGTCAATGTGTTCTTCTCGCAGCCAAATTTAACATTCACATCCCAATTCGAGGAATATTGATTGAACTCTGTGGCAATTATTCATGTATTCTGGGCACTCATCTCCTCCCAACATTCTTTTGTATCTGAATTTTAATTGTAATGTTTTTCATGTGCTGCTTCTCCTATATGAACTGTAGACTAGGTTAGCAGTTTTTCAGAAATTCGTGTTTCAGTTAAAATGTCAGCTAAGGGCCAAAGTTTCTTGTTAATTCGTCTTTTGTTTTAAAAATATATGTAGTTTTTGATAAAAGCTAAAGAATATAAAATGATTTAAAGATGTAGTTTTCATTCGATACATGCTAAAATGCGTCGCTATTTTAGCAGCAAAAAAGCAGCAGTGGGGTTGTGGTTAGACTGATGGTCCATAAGCAACCTTAACGACCCAGGTTCGATCCCAGATAATGTCTAAGGGGCTGTTCACTTATTACGTAACGCGAAAAAATGACTTCTTAGACCCCCTCCCCCTCGTAACAAAATTTGTATGAAAAAATTCAATCATAGTAGGTCGAAAATTTCCTTGTTTGAATCGTAACAAAATCTTAGACCCCCCCCCCCCCCCTCCCCCTAAAAGCGTTACGTAATAAGTGAATGGCCCCTAATCAGATTTGAGTGCTTTTCTTCGCTGTTCTAGTCATGGCAACTCGGTTTGTATGATTTGAGATTGTGGCTAGGTACTTTGCATTGATATACCCTGTGTCAATGCAACTGTGCAGAGTTGCAAATACGCAATCGTCCGTTGAGGACAAAATCTGTCTGTAAAAAGACAAAAACCAATTGTCCGTTGAGACAAAAAAATGATCAAATAATTTTGGATGTCAACGCATCGATCATCATCAATGAATCATTTCAAATCTATAATTAAGTTGTAATAGCAGCTGGCGCTAGCCCTTTTAAAATTGTAAATCAATCAAAAAAAAAATGCGTCGCTATTTTGTTGATAATTTTCAAACTTGAATTCTTATGATAAAACAGTTTTGAACCTTTTGATAGCCTTCAATTGTTAATAACTCCTCCTCGATATCAAACTTCCAAATAAGTCAACTTTTAACTGCGTTTTATGACCTCAATAAATTCACACAAGTCATTAATCACCAAGAATAACTTTTCATTACAATTTCATTCATGTATGCGTGAACTGAGTTTTTCCATTAAAAGAATAAATGAACATTAAAGTTTACATAGTTTAATGACTGATGAGGATGACGATGATGGTGATGAAATTTTTTATTATATGTTAAAATAAAAACAATATGAAAATACACAGCGTCCCAATATTTATATTTATTAAACAAACATCAATTAAATGCAATGTGATAATGGAAGAACAGAAAATAATATTAATCTCATGAAATTAAAATTGAGAGGGTATGGACAGGAAGTGTGGGTTATTGTTGTGTGGCGAAAAATGTTGATTTTATGAATTTCGATGAATTTGTAATGAATGCTTTTTTCACAATGCTTTATGATCCTGTTATGGAATTATTGAGACATTTGCAACTGCTTGATGCACATTTATGGATTTTCTGGAAGCACAGCAAAATTAATGGATGCTTAAAGTTTTAGTATTCTTTCATTGAATGAAATTTGAGCTTTTAAAAACTGTCCCAAAAATCAAGGCTTCTAAATTCCTATAGATGTTCCCTTAACCAAGGATTTTTCCGATACTACTTTTTAGCGCATTTTTGAAACTTGTTTCTAAAAGGTAGCTTAATAATACACTTTGTTCGTTCGTTCGTTCGTCTGAAGAAAAACTTTTTAACCAGACATCGTAGAGAGCTCAGGTTTGTTTTATTAGCTCCGTTACTATTGTTTATTGTCCGATCGAACAGTTAAAAGTCTTCAAGCAGTGTATTTATGCTATAATTAATGAGTTTTTGTTTTGTTTTCAGTGTTACCTGCTCAAATTTTATTTTACCTCTATAATTTCAACATTACCTCTATAAATTCAATTTTTTTTAACCGTTGTAAAATTTGAATCTCAAATAATCGTTAAATGATATACTTTTTATATATGGAAATTCATTGGAACAAATTATTTAATTAAACTATAATTAATTTTTTCGTAGTGCAACTTTTAGCGGGAAAATTTCAAATTATGTTTTGACCGTTAAATAATAAAGCCTTTCTATATAAGCATTCATTGTAATTATTTGTTAATTACACTAAAATTAATGATCTTCTAATCTTCTCATGATCTGTAAATGAACGCAAAATAATTACATAATCAAATACTGATCGCTAACACAAAAACGCGCTTAAGTCCCTCGATCAATAACGCGAGGACTTCTGTAATTTTTTCTATACTAGTTTTCTTAAAAAACCCTTGTAAATTTATGGTTTATACCAATTTAAACTTCATTACCATCCTCAATACGGATCTGACTGAAGCACAAGACTGAATAATTTCACAAAACTTACCCGAATAGCCTAAGTCGGTTAATTCAATAGAAATCCGTTACCAAACAGGCATAACTCTTACAAGGCACACCTGCTTAGTGCTGAATATCTGATCGATTGACCGACCTGAGCCATTCGGATTATAAAGTATACATCTAAAAGTTTAAAGTTTTCCAAAAAATTCAACCTCACATTAATTAATAGCCATCACAACTCAGTGCGAGCTTGAAAAATCTTGAAGTATGCAAATAATTTTTCACTCACAAAGTGACATGACATTCATAGAAATGAGAAAAAATGTGCATGGTTAAGTTGATGTGTAAAGCTATAAATTTTTTTGCTGATGCTACAATGCAAAGCAGAATGCAATGCTATACACGTTGTGGATAATAGATTTCCAGTGGAAGAAAGTTTTTTAAATTCAGTTGAGCTTTAATGCTTGATAGTGAAAGACTTAAAAAAATGGAAAAATTAAATAATTTTGGAATTTTTGTGATTTTCATGATTTTTAATGTGAGTTCTGCATCACTTCCACAAAATTTCACGTAAGTTAAAAATAAAAATTTCATGAATTTTTCAAATGAAATCAAAAATTTGCAGCTGTGATGACTTACACATGCTTTACAACAAAGCCAAGCAACTCGTGAATGTTCGCTCACTTTATGATGACATGCTGCAGGACAACTTTGTTACTATGGAAGACAGTGAGATTGGATATCCATTTTTCAAGTCTGAATTTTCGAGGAAAATTGATTTTAATGTCAGTGAAGAATACATGAAAGCTAAAATTTATACGTAAGTTGACATGACCTTATATAGCTTTATGCTATAGATGGCCAACCCATGTGCCGCGGTACATTAGTATGCCGCCAAAAAATTCAGAGAATTCCATGAACCATTTGCTTTTGGTCATGGCTTATTACCAAGGTGTAACTTTACACAAAAAAAGGTTGGACACCACTGCTATAAGGCCATCATTTTCTAATTTCTAAATCCATTTTTACAGACAAACTGCATCACTTTTCTACGATCAACTAGACCCAAATTTGATTACACCAGGACTATTCCAAAACTACTCTCACTGCTTTTTAGGATCTTCAAAGCCATCAAGCACGACTAATGAAAAGTATAGACCAATAACTGGATATGGAAACAATTTAAAAAATCCAAAAACTGGAGAAAAATTCACATCATACGGAAGAATATTAAAAGCAGCATATGATGATCAAGTCTACTCAATTAGAAAGAGTGGCAGAGGATATGACTTACCTACAGCTCGAAATATCGTCAGAAAATTATTCTTAAATGATAAAATTCATTTGAACAAGTTTGAAGGACGGACACAAATTCCAAACGTATTTTTCCTAATGTTTGGACAGATGATCAAGCATGATACTGGATTGAGGCAGTTCAATAAGAATATTGGTGGAGATAAAAGTGAGTATGGTGAAAATTACATTTAATTGAATGTGACATGCCTCAAAATTTCCTTAGTTCCTGGCAGAGCTCGAGTCAAGTCGAGTCAACTCGAACCATATCGACTTCGTGCTCTGGTTCCTGGAACGGTTTTAAGAATTTCTGAGAAAAGAACCTTTATAGGCTCTAAATGAACAATTGTCGATTTTTCGTACTTCACTTCAAGATCAATAAACAGAAATCAATTTTGACAAGGGTTTCCTAGAAACCAGTCAAGATGAATCATGCATCTGCGACTGTTAACAGCTTGAAATCACCAGTTCTCCAAGTAGACTCGAGGCTTTCATTGATTTTGTATTGCGGAGTCAACTTCGAGCTTTGGAAATCACCAAACTCTCATCCAATTAAATATCCAGCATAACATAAGCATAATTAAGCATAACATTAGAGTTATTAATTAATTAATTAATTATCACACTATATGTTGGTTGCAATCATTTAAGCATGAATGTTCATCATGACGCGTGAATACCAAATTTTCTGTGGTTTTTCCGAAATTTCATTAAAACTGATTAATTCTCAAAAACAAATTTATTTTCAGATATCATCAGATGCTGTGCAAATTCCAACAAAATCACACTTCCACCATCACTCATGCATTCATCATGCATCCCAATTGTCGTCTCGAGAAGCGACACATTCTATAATCCTCGCGAAATTCGATGCATGGATTTCATCCGCTCTAATATCATATCAAATAATCCACATAAAATTGAGATAGGTGAGCAAGTAAATGCAGTCACAAGTTATTTGGACCTTTCAGTTATTTATGGATCGAGTCATAAACAAATGACGATGGTTAGGAGCTTTAATGGAGGTCGTTTGAAGATGAATCCTAGCAACGTGTTGCCAGTTGAAAATGGAACATTTTATAGTGGAGATGATCGAGCTACACAAACGCAGTTCTTGACAGTTGTGCATTCATTATTTATAAGGAATCATAATAACTTGTCAGATAAATTAGCAGGAATGAATCCAGACTGGAATGATGAAAAATTATTTCAAGAAGCACGGAAGTTGAATATTGCAATTTATCAGAAAATTATATATGAGGAATGGCTGCCTATTTTATTAGGAAAGGATATGGTCAGACTATTGGAATTTACTGCTTACAATGAACATGCTGATGCATCAACACTCAATGAGTTCTCAAATTCCGTATTTAGAGTTTTTCATTCATTCATTCCATCAGAATTTGAGATACGCGATAAAAGTGATAATACCACAAAAATTTCCGTATCTGATGCATTAAACGCTGAGCCACTCATGAATTGCCTTGAAAGTATTTTAAGAGGTATTTTGCATCAAAACATCAGCTTGACGGGATATTCTGATGAAATTCTAAATAAATTGTTCAAAAATTCCAACGACGTTGGATTAGATTTACTATCGATGGATATTTTAAGAGGTAGAGACCATGGAATTCCTGCATATTATCGATATAGAAAATTCTGCAACGTTATGCCATGGAAACTTGAAGTTTTTAATGATTTAGCTCCGCATATTTCAAAAACTGCAATCAACATGTTAAGGCAAACATACAAGACAATTTATGATATTGACTTGCTAGTTGGTGGAGCTTTGGAGATGATTGAAAATTCTAGCCATAAAAATATTGATGATTTGCCTTTAATCGGACCAACATTCCAATGTATCATGTATGAACAATTTTATAGATGGAAGGCTGGAGATTATTATTTTTATTCTCATGAAGGGAGATTCACTAAGGGTGAGTTACATAACTGGGGAGGGGGATTTTAAAGTGGCTATGGCTCAGTTTTAGTTAAGGTTTCATATGTTTTACCATAAGCCAGGCGCGTAGCCAAGGGGGGGGGGGGGGGATTTGGGGTATAAATCCCCCAGCGTAAAGAAATTTCTTTATTTTGCTAGGGTTTTTATAAAAAAATCACAAAAATAACCCCCCAACCTTAAATTTTTCCATACAAAAAAATTTTTTGCCCCCCCCCCCTCTTCGAATTTCTGGCTACACCCCTGCCATAAGCTTTAACTAGAGCAACTCGAACGACAACAAAAGTTTATGTTCACATGATAGTGACGTAAAGGCAACACCTTGTTGAATTTATCCGTTCTTAAGGCTGCCTTGTGACTCGAGTCGACATAGCCTTGTTGACAGCAGCTGTGTGACTCGTTTCGACGTTGTATTGCCTTGAGTTGAGGCAGCGTTGTGGACGGAGAAATTCAACAAGAATTCACTTTTACGTCGATACCAATTCAACAAAAACATTTTGCCACTCGGAAAATTGCTTATACTACCCTTAGCCACTGCGGAGGGGATTCAGGAAGGTGTTTGGGTTCAGATTTAAGATTCTAATTCATTTTATCAATGTTTTTTAAAAAATTTCATTTTCCAGATCAACTAAAATCAATCCGAGACTACAAACTTGCAAACTTGATATGCGATAATTCCGACATTTTATCAGTTTTAAAGGATTCATTTATATCTAGCGGGTTAAGCGTAGATTGTCAAAGCTTACCATCGATTGATTTATCCTTTTGGAAAACTGAAGCATGATGGAAAGTTTCGATCCTGTAAAGCTAATGATAAGAGTGACAGTTAAATTTGTGCATCAATTTGTCAAAAATATTCATATTTTATTGTCAATTTATTCGAACGTATTAATCATGTATGCTTATTATTGTAAAGTTAGTTGCAAATAAAATTTTAATATTAATGGACGGATTTTATGAGAATTTTAATTTTGTTGGCTTGATAATTTTTAATGATGAATTTAAGAAATCCCACAAAAAGTATGCCTGGTTGATGCAGTTGATACTTATCAAAGATATCCAGAATAGCACAAGTCAGTTAATCGAATATAGATATCCAGCCCCAAGCCTGCGTGACTTTAGCCTGGTGCTGAACTCAAATCAAATCCGGCACTATTCCAAAGTCACTCCAGATTGGTACCGGATTTCTACTTAATTAACCGACTTGTGCTATTCGGTTATGCATTTTGAATTTTCAGAAACCGTTAAAATCAAGAGACACAGCAGAATCCTCTCATCCCCACAAGTATCCATCTCAAACTTCTCACCATTCAATACTTTTATCACCTAATAATTTATTCAGTAGTTCTTGTGTAATAAATCTCATTGTGTATGTCGGTATGACTGATAAATACAGCACACATAAAATATTATAATTTTGTATCAATGCATGACATTTATGGTAATCGCTAACATAAAAATGCTCATTTGTTGTAATGTTTTCACTCGTTGAGTCGTAAAATGATGAATTTTTAAAAATATCACAATCAACTGCTTGATGGAAGAATGTACGTATTATATCCATACGGTGTGAGTTACGTTTATTGGCAACCTGTTGAATGTTTCTTGAAATCACATATTTTTTAGTGAATTTGTTAATCAGCAGGAAGCCGAGTACGCTCGCATCCAATTCAATGCTTGGTGGAAAATTACGTGGATTTGAAATTTCAGCAGACAGCAGTAAATCATAAGAATCTTGCCAAAATTCCTGACTCAGAATTTCCAATTCATCATAAGTCGGTTGCTGTCCACAAAGTAAGCCAATCGAGATTCCCTGTATGAGTGGCAATCCAATCAATCGATATGCAATTGTTGGTGATTTATGTGGCAAATAGACTGGAATGTCTTTCTGTAAAATATTTGATTGAGTAAGAAGCAGAATCAACAATTTTCTATCGTTAACGTGAAGATCATAAAAAGCATCTGTTGCACAAATTATACGATTTTTTGACAGTAAAAAGCAGTACTGTGATGCCAGGGATAATTCACTAAAACTTATCAATTTTTCATGAATCACTGCTGCTTCGTGACATAAAATACTCTCATTGAAGTCAAGTAAATCATTTTCAGCATATTCCATAAGTTTTTCAATCATTTGGAAAAATGAACTTTTTAAGTCGCGCTTCAAACGATCGACATTTTTTGCAGCTTTGATTTCATTGATGCCAATGTGAAGAACCATTGCCTGAAATGACTTTTCGATGAGACTTTTTAGCACCTTTTCAGTCAAGTTTGTTGATATTCCTACAAATAAAAGTGACTCGAATTCCTTCCATGATATTAATCCATCATCTCCAAATGTTGTTGCTGAAAGTTCAACGTTTTGAGTACGGCAAAAGAGATGGACGGATGAGAATGATGCTGTTGTTGAGAATGGAAGCTAAAATTATGGAAAAAATTGTTTTTTCATTTAAAAGCTAAGTCCATAATTAAGTAAGGGATTAAACATAAGGGTCAACATAGGGTTAATATAAGAGTTTGAGGAATAAAAGAATTTTTGGTAATATTTGAGTCTCGTCTCGGAGATTTAAAAGTCGTGGATCATTATCAAAATAGGAATTCAAACTTAGTTTTTGAGGCTGATTTTCCCCTAATGAAACTTAGTTTTTAAGTTGCCAATTATAACTCTAGTAACCATAATCGTCCTTAGGACCTTCCTTAGGAAAATCTTGGTTACTATTTAAATATCAAACTATTTATAAATTTATCAAATTAAAAAATAAATTCCCTACATTTTCAATATTATCCCCACGTTTCTTGTTGAAAATCGGAGTTCCATTATAAAGGCACATCAAGTAAATCGACATTGTTATAATTGCACTTTTATTAAAAACTAATTTTCATTCAGAATTATTAAAAATATAAATTTTCCTTTTAATAATGTTTATTGACAACAAATCTACAAAGGGTAGGAAATCAAACAGCAGCAACAGGTTGTTTGAGTACAATCTTCATGCTGACGCGAACGCCATCTTTTGATTATTTGGATGAATTAATTTATGTAATATATTATTGACAGTAATGTATCAAAATATATATTTTGAATTATGTGTGAGCATAATATAGACTACGAGGAAGTTTACTAAAATAATTACGATTAGACGTACTCGTGTCTTTGTAATGTGCAGAGCTTGCAAGTGATTCGGATTCCACTATAAACTGTAGGTCTAAATGGTTTGGTACAGTTGATTCTTTACAAATTGAACCACAGTGCCTTTAGCTGGAAGGCTGGGCCCTTTACACATTATTATTAATAGGTTTATTCTGAGACAGGATCGTAGCTTTAAAAATATTTAAGAAAACTATTTGTTCTTATTCGCTTACATTAGAAATTCTATTAGAATTGAATAAAATGAAGTTTGTTAAGATCAGAAACAGAACTTTAAACCTTATGCTGATGATATTGACACCATCTTCCTTGAAGTGTTTATGGCGAAAAGCACATAATAACTTACAGACACATAGCATTTTTTGGTGACATCCCTTTTCAAAGCTATTTAATAAACTTTAAATTGGTTGAATATGTCTTATATCTTGCCTTAAGAACTCTGGCCTAATCCGATATGAATGATTTTTCAATATCTTATACAAAGAAGCCTAACTTTGAGTTAAGATTGCTTCCAGAAACGATTCCAAAACATCAAAAACACTCAACGAAAACATCAAATGGGAAACAGAAGCTAAATATCTGGGAATGGTGATTGACTAGAGAGTGACATTAAAGCCGCATGTGGAGTATGTGACCAATAGGGCTCACACCGCATTAAGACAGTTTTATCCGCTCATCAGCAGGAACTCACAACTCGACGTACGAAACAAACTTCTCATCTACAAGCTAGCCATCAGACCAATATTCACATATGGTTGTCCAGCGTTTGGAAGCATGGCAAAAACCCACCTTCAAAAGCTTCAAGTACTGCAAAACAAATTCTCGAGAATTGTTCTCAATAAAACAAGATATGAAAGGATCACCGATCTTCATACAGAAGCGAAAATACCGTCCATCGAAGACTACATCGGAAAGTTGCAAGCGAACTTCAACAGTCGTCTTGCATCTCAAAACACCGAATAAATCAAATGAAATACAAAAGAAAGTAAAATCCGTAAATGAAATCAAAATTAAGAGACAAAAGGCAAATTGAATGCCTGAAACCTTAAAAAACAAAAAGCAACAAAATGTATAGAAACTTTGTACATACTTAAATTTAAATGTAAATAAATAAAAAGTTTAATTTAAAAAAAAATTGCTTCCATAAGTTGAGGATATGAATTCGATTTTGATATTTCTTGAGTTTTAAAAGTTAAATCTTTTAATTTACGAAGAATTTTGTGGTTTGATATTTTAATTGTCGAACATTTTGAATTAAAATCAAAACAAAGTCATTTAAAGGGAACGATTCTCGGTTTATATTTGTTATCAACTTTGATATGATTGAAGAAAGAGTTCCATGGCATGAAAATGTGGCTTAGTAGTTTGAAAAATTATTTCAGCTATTTTCTTTATCTTAACCTGATTTTAACTAAGGACTAAATGTGGTTATGGATATTTTGATAGAAAATTTAATTTTTGTCCGAAAACTTAATAGCAAAAAATTAAATATCACAAGATTTTCATTTTCCAGCAGTTTTAATTAAGTGAGTATTTTACAAAGCTTGAAGTCGAAGAAATTTTGTATGGAGTCAAGTCGACTATGAGCTCTGGTATTTTATGATAACCACACGTTTCAAGATTAATAAAAAACTTAATGTTTGAAATTAAAACAATTAAAATAATTAGAAATCTAAAAAATTGATCAATTTTAAGCTGATTGATTTTCACCCGTCGTCAAATCTGAAGGATCTTTCTTTTTTGTGCATTTAGAGTCTCGAAAAAAAACAAAGAACAGTTAATGAAGTTAATTGCTGACATAAAATTTTATGTTGATCCGTGCCAATATTTTTTCGGGCAATTTGTAACACAGATTAAATTTTATAAGGCATTTGGATGGTCTTGATCGGTCTTTAAATACCTCAATTACATCGATTTCATTAAAAACTCAGTTTTGATTCAAGACAAAATCCATGATTCATAAAAAAAAGTTTTTGATCTCCTTTTATGTATAAATTATTTTATAATTAGGAGGTTTTCAGCCAGACAGCAATTTACTTTTGAGATTTAAACTAATAAGCTGAAAGTCAAACACCATAAAATATGAAAATAAATTTTTTTATGTCCACCACTAGTCCCATGTGATCTCATTTTAGCACCCAAATAACAGAAAAAAAAATTCTGATTTGTATTGCATATTCATTAATAAAATGATAAAAATCTACTGATTACTGTGACTATAAGCTTAATAATCGTGCGAATCATAAAAATATTTATTTTTTCACTATCATTTATTGGAATTACTATAAAAGTTGTCATTTGTCGTTTGACTTTTATTATTAACTGATTTGGAGATATTTCAATATTTTTATGATTTTCTACTCATTTGTGCCTTGAAAAAGTAACAAAATTTCTAGATTATTAGCAGAAAAATGATGAGGACTTTTGTGTTTTATTGTTGGCAATTTTAGATAACAACAAATCGTAATAAAAATGAAACTTTTTTTTTATGCTGGAAAAATCAGTAAATTAAATTCACAATTTGTTATCTTAACGATTTTGTTGCTGCTTATATTTAATTTAGATTGTGATTTTGAGATTTGTGATGATAGTTTTAGATGCTGTCATATTTTTTACGTATTGTATCTTTTGTTTTAATTGGGTGTCGAATTTCTACTAATTTAATTTGTATTGAAAACTTTTTTGAAATTGCTAGAAAACTGCAAGAGATTTTCCTATTAAAATTTAAAACTCCATAGAGACACCGTTAGGTTCCAAAAAACATTTTTATTAATTTTACAAGATTAATTCAAATGATATGAACTCAAAAATATCAGCACAGATTCATTAAAATTTGTCAAATGATCAATAAAAAATTACTTAAATTAAAGCTTTGATTCTCCAAAAAGCTAATCAATAATTAAATAATATAAAATTCATTTCACATTCTTATTGTCACAAATTGTGCATTCTTTTTTATGAATTGTTGAGCATTTCACCCTTAAAATCCTGTTTTAGTCTCTTTTAATTTTGAAATTTCTTAACATCTCAAAAAATCTTCCAATAAGTCTTAAAATTACCATAAAAATTAAAATAATCAACACAATAACAGCTCCTATAAATGCAATAACATCATAATAATGATATTGATAAAATGGAATGTTTTTCTGCTCGTAATGGAAATGCTTTGCACCACGATTCCTGATAACATATTCTATCCACCAAACAGCCTTGTCACGTGACGTCATTGGAACATCTTCTACAAGTTTTGTTAAGTTTTCGATATTTGTTTTGTATCTGAATATTAAGGCATAAAGAAGAAGTCATTTGAATATTCATAAGAATCTCATTTTACAACTAATTAGACACAATTTTTCATTTCTTCACCTTTTATTATTGACCAAGTCCAATATCGAGTTCTTGATGTCATCTGAATTAATTTTGTCATTTTTATGGATGTCTAAAACTTTAGCAATTTGTCGATCTTCTACTCGGATTGCATTAGCTCGTTGATCACTTGATATTAGCATAATCAGCATTGGAACTCGGCGTAATATAGATTCTTCCATTGATTGTTGACCCTATTGAAAATTAATATATGATTCATTATTTGTTGAGTAAAAATGCCGTCGGAAACTTTAGAGCGCTTAAATTTTAAAAATTGTTGAAAAAATGAAATTTTAAGGCGCGGCAACTCAGGACCAATCCTGAAAAATCTCAAAAATCCGAAAAAAAATCCCTGATCTTATAAACATCGATTTAAAAGGAGATTTCACATTTCCATGTTTATTGGTTTAGGGATTTTTTAGGATTTTTGGGATTTTTCAAGATTAATCCTAAGAAATTCACTCAATGGTTCGTCCCGAGCGGGAATCGAACCTCGCACCTCTCGATTGCCGGTCAAGTGCACAGCCCACTAAGCTATCGAGCTTTGCCAACGTTGAACTTTCATTTAATGGCGCTTTAATTTGTTATACTTAAAGGTTTCACAAGCATTGTTGCACAATTTAAAATTATCAAAGTATTCAAAAGTTAAAGCAAATGAAACTTACCCCTTGTGTTATGAACAGCTTGATATTTCCATGAGCCAATAGATCAGACTGCGGAAACCATTTCTGTATTATCATATTTTTGGGTACATTATCTAACACACCATCATACTTAAACAGAAATAAGTATGGTAAATTCTCACATGCTGTCAATAATTTTTGAACTACATTTGGAAAGTAGTTTGGTTTATATACAGTCCCAAAACTTACAAAGATAACTCCATTTGTATTCTTATCGAGAATTTCTTGAAGTATTCCTGGTAAAGGTTGAGGAGGATAGATATGAAGAAATCCAAGTGGAATAGTATTTGGTAGAATTGGACGAATAAATCCCATAACAGGATGTGCATTAATCAAAAGTAAATCAACATTACTTGTTAAATCATAATACTTTTTGACTTTATTGTTTGGAAAGTATTTTTCAGTGATTTCATCACACTTAACAATCAGCAAAGGCATAACTACATATTTGAAAGTAAGCCAGTAAATGCTGCTTTGAAGTCTCTCTGAAAATGTCTTTGCGAATGGGAACTCGAGTAATCGATCTGGATGAGCAACTGGATTAATCACATTTCCTCTATTTTCATGCTCAGTTGACAGTGCATCTCCTGCTGTGATGCTAACAGTTGGCACATTGAAATATTCAGCTAATGCATTAAATGGTGAGAATCCAAAAGATTCCATCAAAAGAAGATCGAATTTTTTGTCATTTTTTAACAGATTTAAAAAATGTTTATTTTTAAAAACACTTGATAAAATTTCCAAAAATGGATTGTGGTCAAAAAAGCGACTAGGTTTGAGTAAAAAGTGTTGAACCTGACTCTCATAAGTTTCTTTTAATGACAATAGCTCAATAAGAGTGACATTTACATGATTTCTTTCATTTTCTCTTGGATCTACACTTATTAATGTAATTTTATGGCCACGCGATAACAATTCCATAGTCACAGCATTATAAACTGACAAATGACTATGCACTGGCACAACAAAAATGCAAAGAATCTCAGCACAATTTGAGAAATATAAAAAATAAGCTAATATTAATAAAATTGATTTGCTTTTCATGTCGATAAAGTAATTCACTGGCTGAATTTTCAAACAGAACTGAATAAGTCAAAGCTATTTTCGGGGAGATCCATTTTTGACGTTAATCAAAAATTAATATTTTCAAAGTGTTGGTCAATTAATTTACTACTTACTTTACTTCCTTTGCTGGGGCGCACGTGGGTTCATTGCCGCGCTTAGTTATTGTCTAAAGACTGCTCTATCCTTTGACACCTTCTGCTAGTTCGGGATATTCATTTAATTCTATAATAGAAGTACTTAAATGCCTCAATGTGCATGCTCACCCTTACATCTTAAATGATGGACGTCATAAATTAATGAACCCTTTAATGCTGATTAAAAATTTATCAATTTTTTATCATCGATAAGAATGACTTTCTTGATAAGATTAGTATTTTTCAGCAATGTTGCATATAGAGTATGTAGCGTCAAAAGAGCATATTCAGTAATGTTGATGTAAAGTATAGATTTCTGTAGAACATTTTAAAAACTTTAAAAAAAACTTCATTTTCACTGCAAAACTATTTTTATTGAATCTTTAATTTATAGGCAGTTAAAGATTTAAAGCATTTTCCAATGCATCTCAAAAATACAATTAAAAATAAAATAATCAGCATGATAACAGCTCCTATAAATGCAATAACATCATAATAATGATATTGATAAAATGGAATGTCTTTCTGCTCGTAATGGAAATGCTTTGCACCACGATTCCTGATAACGTATTCTATCCACCAAACAGCCTTGTCACGTGACGTCATTGGAACATCTTCGACTAGTTTTGCTAAGCTTTTGATATTTGTTTTGTATCTGAATATTAAGGCATAAGGAAGAAGTCATTTGAATATTCATAAGAATCTCATTTTACAACTAATTAGACACAATTTTTCATTTCTTCACCTTTTATTATTGACCAAGTCCAATATCGAGTTCTTGATGTCATCTGAATTAATTTTGTCATTTTTATGGATGTCTAAAACTTTAGCAATTTGTCGATCTTCTACTCGGATTGCATTAGCTCGTTGATCACTTGATATTGGCATAATCAGCATTGGAACTCGGCGTAATATAGATTCTTCCATAGATTGTTGACCCTATAAAAAATTAATATATGGTTCATTATTTGTTGAGTAAAAATGCAGTCGGAAACTTCAAGGCGCCTAAAATTTTAAAAATTGTTGAAAAAATGAAATTTCAAGGCGCGGCAACTCAGGATCAATCCTGAAAAATCTCAAAAATCCGAAAAAATCCCTGATCTTATAAACATCGATTTAAAAGGAGATTTCACATTTCCATGTTCATTGGATCAGGGATTTTTTTCGGATTTTTGGGATTTTTGAGAAATTCACTCAATGGTTCGCCTCGAGTGGGAATCGAACCTCGCACCTCTCGATTGCCGGTCAAGTGCACAGCCCACTAAGCTATCGAGCTTTGCAATTGTTGAACTTTCATTTAATAGCGCTTAAATTTGTTATGGTTAAAGGTTTTTCCAAGCATTGTTGCACAATTTAAAATTAACAAAGTATTCAAAAGTTAAAGCAAATGAAACTTACCCCTTGTGTTATGAACAGCTTGATATTATTATGAGCTAGTAGATCAGACTGGGGAAACCATTTCTGTATTATCATATTTTTGGGTACATCATCTAACACACCATCATACTTAAACAGAAATAAGTATGGTAAATTCTCACATGCTGTCAATAATTTTTGAACCACATTTGGAAAGCAGTTTGGTTTATAGACAGTCCCAAAGCTTACAAAGATAACTCCATTTGTATTTTTATCAAGAATTTCTTGAAGTATTCCTGGTAAAGGTTGAGGAGGATAAATATGAAGGAATCCAAGTGGAATAGTATTTGGTAGAATTGGACGAATAAATCCCATGACAGGATGTGCATTAATCAAAAGTAAATCAACATTTTTTACTAAATCATAATAATCTCTATTTTTGGTATCTGGCAGGTATTTATCAATGACATCATCACAAATTTTGACCAGTGCTGGCATCATTACAAACTTATAAGTCATCCAAAAAGTTATACTTTGAAGTCGTTCCAAGAATGTCCTTGCAATCGGGAATTCAAGGAGAAGATCTGGATGTGCAACTGGATTCATAACATTTCCTTTATTTTCATGTTCTATTGATAGCGCATCAGTTGCCGTGATGCTAACAACAGGAACATTGAAATGTTCAGCTAAAGCATTGAATGGAGAAAATCCAAAAACTTGCATTAGCAGCAAGTCAAACTTTTTATCAATTTTGAGTAGATTTTTAAATTCATTTGTTTCAAAAAGTTCAATTATAATTTCCAAAAATGGATTGTTTTTAAGTAAATCTGACGGATTAATAAGAAACTTTTCCATTTCATCTTCATATTTTGCCTTAATGAACGAGACGTCCACTAGTGTCACATTTTCATTATTTCTTTCATTTTCTCTTGGATCAACACTTATTAATGTAATTTTGTGGCCTCTCGATAACAATTCCATAGTCACAGCATTATAAACAGACATATGACTATACACTGGCAATACATAAATGCACAGAATTTCAGCACATGAGGAAATATTCAAAATTAATCCAAGAATTAATAAAATTAACTTCATTTTTTAAAAAAACGCTTTATATTAGAATGGAACTCCACTTAGAAATGAAAACAAAACAAAAACTTTGAGTTATCGTTAATTTTTTTTATCAGGTTCAGTTAGATAATAGCTCGATAACAGTATTGATAAGATTAGTAGACAGTTTATTTGCTGGGGATTATTGAATGTAAACATCATTCTGATAACGAAAATTACTCAATTAAAATCGGATTTTGGTAAATAAAGTTGTGATTTATTATCTAATGGGAATCTCTTGTTTCTGGTATACAGAGTTGTTATCAGCGGCTTAGCAAAAGCTCTTTTTTTTATTAAACCTCAATAGTTTTTGTTACTGTTTTTAAAATTCCTCTCAAATTGAAGAAACTCCAAGCTGTGACGCTAGACTTTGGTTTATAAATATAGGAGATACCGAAAAAGATATAGTCAGTTCAACGCAGGGATACTTTTCTCGTCCAAATTACTATGGGTCCTCGATTTGAGTAGATTCGATTTGAATAGGATTTTTTTGGAACTAAACACCTACTCAAATCGAGGACCCCCAGTACAAGAACTGATGGTCCATAAGCTTCACTCAAAACACTATGTGTCTCTGGTGCGGTGATATATACATGCGGTGAAATGGCATCAGTGGCCTAAATGGTAAAACGTTGGCCTTCTGTGTCAAAGGTTCTGAGTTCAATCCAAGAACAAGTCAAGTTTTAGAAGCTCTTTATCCATTTCACCGTTCTAGTTACGAAGCTCGGTTCGTGTGTTGGGTGTAGTTTTTAGGTCTTCGGCACATAACGTGTCTTCTTTGCTAGGTATACAAGGATATACTAGCATCTGGATGACTTACTTACGGCATCTTGCGCACACGAATTGTGACTAGGTACATTGCAAGTTGTTCGGATCCCACTATAAACTGTAGGTCTAAATTGTATAGTACGATATATTTTTTTTTAATTTGAATCGCAGTGCCTCCAGCTAAAAGGCTGGGCCCTTCACACATTATTATATGTGTCTCTGTTGCCTCGTTGTTAAAATGTCTGTAAATTCTGTTAATTCACAAAATTAATTTTACCCAAAAAATAAATTGCGAAAAAGGATGTATTATTTAAAGCTTCGACAGAAACACGCATTTCAACAAGTTTCCAAAAAAAAAGTTCAATAAAATTCAGTAAGCTCCCATAAAAATTGAAAATCGTCAGACACATAAATGTCAATTGATTATGTCCGTTGTTTTATCTTATTGAATAAATTAACATATTCGGCATATTTCTCATTATCTGACAACTTCAATTTCATCACATATAACTAAGCCAATAAATTTATGATAATCGCATTTTCGTGTTAACTACACGAAAGCCAGTAACATTTCATTCATAAAAAAACTTTTTTTTAATATCCTTTAAATGAAATTTAATTATTTTCATGCATAAATGAGTATAAACACATATTAATAGGAATAATGAACGAGTTGTCATAAAATAGCATGAAAAAAAATCCTTTAAATTTATTTATTCACTCACTTCACAACATTGTGAATAAAAATTTTTATGATTTAGACTTTTAATGGACTCAATCATTAATGGACTTAGATACACATAAATGTATGGATATAAATAAATTTTCATTTATTCATTTATGTATTTTTTTTATGTATATAAGTGGAGATAATTAAAAATCTAGCGTGAAATGCTCGGTTATTTGTAGAATGTTAAGCGCATAAAAGATTTCGATCGATATTAATTATAAAAGTAACAATATGATGCAAGTCTGTTAACTAGAATGGCATATAAAAGGTATAGTACCTGTAGATCTCCCTTTAACTGCCACATGGTGTAAAACAAGTCGGCTTCGATGGGAATCGAACCAACAACCTTATTAGAGGCGGTCTCTGACCACTCGATCAAAGATCCTATTAATCGTCCACCGAGGTACTTATCTCACTTCGACTATCCTTCATACTCTTATAACAAGTTTAACGCGAGCCCTGTGCTACAGATATGATCTTCAAGCCATATCCACAGTTCCATATCTGGAATAAGGTAAGGCTCAGTTTTTGCGAACTAGGATTTTGCAAATGAATCGTCAGACTTTAACTTGACTCTAACTGCACTAGTTTCAACAAAATGCCCAATAAATCCACTTTAATAAATGCGAAAACTCATCTTCTTTAAAAACTGCTCAACATATGCACACTACAACTACAAGTTTAAGCTTTAGAGTCAACAGAAGATGAAAGAAGCAAGGAAAGGAGAGAAAAAAAAAACTTATATTTTTATAGCGCTGATAATTACCTTAAAAGTTGATAGTAAAAACCATCAACGAAGATGTTTGAAATCATATATTATGTGATTTTATACATCTTATATCTTGTGATCGTAAATATCAAAAATATAACATTATTTCAATTTAGTTTTTAATTTCTTTTTGATTTAAAACTCATTAGCGATTTTAAACATCTTGCAATACACCTTAAAATTAATGCAATGGTGACAATAATCAGCATGATAACAGCTCCTTTAAATGCAATAACATAGTAATGATGAAATGAAATGTCTTTCTGCTTATAATGGAAGTGCTTTGCACCACGATTCCTGATGACATATTCTATCCACAAAACAGCCTTGTCACGTGACGTCTTTGGAACATCTTACACAAGTAAATTTCGTGTAAATCACTAATGAGTCAGTTTTAAGTGGAACAGAAAAAGTTCCAATGTAGCATGGAACAGAAGCATGGCATGGACAATTGTAGCCTTTAGGAACTGCATCTATTTTGATGATCGCATACATTTTCAGTTTCTATCCAAATTTCAAACATCATGAGATCACTTTGTAAAAATTGATGCCAAATTGCAGCTGACACAATTCTTCGCTCGATCACAAACTGATTTAGATATTAAGAGACATCAAACATTATTAACTCTGCAATTTTCAATACATATTGGTAAATTATTGACTATAAAAATGCAATAAAATTTTTAAAAAGTCTATTTTGAATATCTTTTGTAAGGCAAATCAGCTTAAGTCGCGTGTGTCGCATGTCTATTGTAAAAAGTCTGAATAAAAAATATTTTAATCCTCGATAGTTGATTGAAATTCGAAATAAAAATATAGCGCAAAAATTTTATTTCGCATATCTCTTTGAAGAAGATAAAGGCTTCGTCATGATCGTAAAAAAATTTATAGTATATTTTTTTTTGGATTTAATGCTCTAAATTAATTCAGAAAAATGAGTCAATATTTTATTTAAACTAGATCGTTCTGAACAATCTTAAGTCAAGACGATATTAAGTTTTTATATCATATGTAGTATTGATATAGTCTCATTTTTCAGTGTCATTAGGAACAATCAAGATCAATAAATACTTCTTTTGGCAAGTTGTAAATGATGTCATTGAGCTGCTTTTTGAGTCTACTCTAGCAAAGAGGCTTCTAATGGATCCAGACACCCCGAGCCCCCACTTAGACTTCTTTTTACAAAATATAGCTAAGGAATGTAGCAAAGGTAAACCCAAAATACTGAACCTAGGTTAAATTTTAACCGTTAAAAAGAGGGCTAAATTAGATTTATTATAATCCCTTATTTTATTTTAATGTCACTAAGAACCCCTCTTATAGACATCACTAATGAAAAACCCGCTTAAACCATCATCATCTTAATAACTTTCCCACACCCAGTTTCAAAACAAACTGACATGATCCCATATCAACTTCATTATGACACACGTTCAAAAATAATATCCAATGAATAGAAATGAATTTTTGATCTTGTAATAAAAATGACGATTAGCTTCTTTTGTTTTCATCGATCTCCGACACTAAACAACAAAATGTTGACACAGAAAATTCAAAGAAATTAAATTGATTTTTTTATTTCTGATCCGGAATGATATCATTGATTGTTAAAAACAAATTTGTTTTTTCTCTCGGATCCAAGAAGATGTAAAACAAAAGGTTCGAAAATTATTAAATCCACAATTCATAAATAACAATTTATTAAGACTATGAAATTCAGGATTAATCATGAAAAATTTCAAAAATCCTTAAAAAATTCCTGAATTAATGCTGAAAATGTGAAATGAGATTTAAAAAAAATTTCACATTTTCATGTTTACTGGTTCAGGGATTTTTTAAAATTTTTTTTGGATATTGCAGTATTAATCCTAAGTTTGCACGCCTTGGAATCGATTCTTATGTTCACCTTTATCGAAATCTGTATAAATTTATTCATTTATGTATCTTCTTCACTTCCATCTTTTTATGACGCTGTCATAGATTTACTGTTTATTTGATTTGACAGTCAATCGAAAAATTAAAGCGGTTTGGAAATTATTAAACAGCAGAAAAATTTAAGCTTTGTAGTATTTTTAATCGACGACATCCCAACCCCCTAGCTAGATATTCATTAATCACGTCCAAAATCAACAAGTAGAGGCAAAAGCAATTGAGTAAAAGTTGTCACCAAACTCATAATTTTATATTGAATGACGTCATTTTTTAAAAATCCTAGGATGAATTAGAAAATTTACAGCAAAAATAAAATCGATTAATACATTTAATATCCATGATTTTTACGACAACCTAACTCAATATCGGAAATTTTAGACACGATAAATGCGCTTTATATGTCCATAAATCTAACCACAAGTTTATTTAATCTCATTTTGAACCATAAATGTAACAAACAATATGGACAGCCATATTTCATCGCTTTTAATGTCAATGCATAAAAATAGTGAGTATTTTAATCGTTTTAATGAACAAAACTCGATTTTTATGGTTTTATAGTTTCGATAACATGCCTTAATTGAATTCTTTTCCTTCTAAATGCATTAAATTGATTGTAAATAATTTTTTTTTCTCAACTGCGATTGCTTGAGCAAGATCACTGATGTGTTTTATGAAGATTAATGCAGGAAGAGAGATAAAATCTCAATTGGTACTGGTATTGCGAATATATTTTTATCTTTAGTGGCCTGTTTGTGAGATGGTAAGGCAAAAGCTAATGAATCT